TGCACAAACAAAGCCAATGCAACCAAGATTAGGAGGAAGCAGAACACTGGGAAAGAATTTTTACAACCAGTATCTCTGATAAAGGCCTCATTTCTAGAATATACAAAGAACTGAGTCAAATTTATTAGAATACAAGTCATTCCCCAATTGATAAATGGTCAAAGGATATGAACAGGCAGCTTTCAGAGGAAGAAATTAAAGCTATCTATAGTCATATGAAAAAATGCTATAAATCACTATTAGTTAGAGAAATGCAAATCAAAACAACTCTGAAGTACCACATCACACTTATCAGAATGACTAACATGACGAAACACAGGAAAATGATAAATGCTGGAGAAGATGTGGGAAAATTGGAACACTAATGCATTATTGGTGGAGTTGTGAAATGATCTAAACATTCCGGAGAGCAGTTTGGAACTATGCCCAAAGGCTATAAAACTGTGCATACCCTTTGACCCAGCAATACTACTTCTAGGTCCATATCCCAAAGAGATCATACAAATGGGAAAAGGACTCTCACGTACAAAAATATTTATAGCATCTCTTTTTGTGGTGGCAGAGAATTGGAAATTGAGGGGATGCCCATCAGTTGGAGAATGGCTGAACAAGTTGCAGTATATGAATGTAATGGAATACTATTGTGTTGTAAGAAATGATGAGCAGGCAAAGTTCAGAAAACCTTGGAAAGACTTACATGAACTAATGCTGAGTGAAGAGAGCAGAACCAGGACAACATTTTACACAGCAACAATCATGTGGTGTGATGACTAACTTTGATAGACTTATCTCTTCTTAGCAATGCAAGGATCTAAGACAACTCCAAAAGGCTCATGATGGAAAATGCTATCCACATCCAGACAAAGAACTATGGAGTCTGAATGCAGATTGAAGCATATTATTTGCTCTCTCTCTTTTTTTTCTTTTTTTTTTTTGTTTCATCTTTTTCATGATTTCTCCCATTGGTTCTATTTTTTCTTTACAACATGACTAATGTGAAAATAGGTTTAATATTAATATTTAATATGAGCCTATATCAATTTACATGCCACCTTGGGGTGGGGGAAGGGGAGAAATGGGGAGAAAATCTGGAACTCAAAATCTTATGGAAGTGAATGTTGAAAACTAAACACAAATAAATATATTTTAAAAAACCAAAAAAAAAGTTAGAGTTACAGAGAAAAATACTTTTTTAATTAAAAAAAATTACAATGGAGGGTCTGAGTTGTCCCTTCATTGCCTTTCTCTCATCACATGACCAGCCCACTTTCTTTTTTGGATCAAGCATTTCTTGATATTTTGTCTGCCATTTTCCTCTGTGATTCCTTCTTTTTAATCTGTTGCAGCCTTCTCACATTCCATCATGCACCTCCGAGGAATTCTGGGTAATGTTCACTTTCAATTCTTCAGAGACAACTCATGAAACAAAGACAAGTATTGTCATTATTGTTATTGCTATTATATTATTATTATTACACATGAGGAAACTGAGGCTGAAGGAGATTATGGAACTTGCCTAAGGTAATGAAACCAATAAATGGCAGAATCAAAACTAAAGACCCAATCTGCTAACTCTTCATTCATGCTCCATATGGACATAACACTTATACACACACACACACACACACACACACACACACACACACTTCAAGTCTGTGTATTGTCACAATCCTCTTGGTTATCCTAAGATGACTGCTTTGGAGTGTTGGTAAACTATAGGAGTCCCAGCTCGGAAACACAGTTTCAGCAATGTGCCACCATGTTGATCTAACACTGAGGCTCCCCAATCCATCAAAAGCCAAAGACAACATGTGCTCTCCAAGGAGGGTCTCCATGGCCTTCCTTCCTAAATCCAATGCTGCTCTGCTATTGACCAGCTGTGATGGATTCTGCATCATTCCCCACCCCAGGCAGACAGGCCTCCTCCCAGCCGCATCTCTGCACTGGATCAGAATTGGATTGGCAGATGTGAAGAAATCTGTTTCAGCTGCTTGACAGTCCTAAGCCTTGTTAGGCCTTAAGTACCTCAGGGGCTGGAACTTGGCTACGGGTCTGGCATATTTCAGTTACCATAACGTGCATCAACAGCTTTCTCTTTTTATTAAATGACAGTGTCAGAAACAGGCTTGCCTTATACGGCTGGGCACTACATACTGGTCTTCTGAGAACTTGGCTGGGGGAGGCAAGTCAGGCAGCTGGACAGACACCTCATCCGTTTGATTAAAGCAGGCCAAAAATGAACTTTTCTTGTTCTCAAAACAGTTGGAGCAACCTACGTCAAGGGATTTGGCAATGAGGGTACAAATCTGGGAAGACATATCCCAGTCATTGGTGACTCAAGAAAATTTAGAGATTAACATATCTGAACAGGGAAGGATAGTATAGAGCCCAAGGGAGAAAATGGCCAATAAGAGGATCACAGAATTATAGATTTAGGGTTGGGAGGGATCTTAGCGGTCAGAAAGTCTTCTGCCTGGTGGAGGCTGCTCTGGATGAGGCTTGCTCTCCTCTGCCCTACCTCTCTCTCTTCTCCTCCTATAGTCACTCTCACTCTGCTGCTCCCCGCCCCCCCCCAGCTTAGGGCTCCACCAGCACCTCTCTCAGGGATACTTCTTTACATTTATCCCAGGATACTTCTGTGGATGCTAGCAGTGTCCATGTAGTGCAAAGAAAGAGGGATAGGACAAACGTTGAATTATTAGGTTAAAGAGATCATACAGACAACAATTCAAGAAAAAGGAAAAAAAAAGAATCCACTTGGGGGAAACACTCTTCACACTAGGCCTAAAGGTACTTGACTTAAAAGTCAGTAAGAGACCTAAACTCAGATCCCTCTCCTGGAACTCCCTAGCTATCACTTAAACCTTTCTGAGCCTCAGTTTCCCCCTTTGGACATCCTCTCTCCAAAAAAAAGTGGTTTAAGTGCAGAGAATCCTCACAAAGGGTTAAGCAGGGGTTATAAGGGTAGGCCAGGATGAAGACTGTAACTGAGCAGCAGCGGGGCTGGGACATGCTTTGGGTCTCCACAGACAATGAGGGAGAAGCTAGGGATAGAGAGGAACAAACTTGTCTCAGGGACCTAGACAGGGAAGGAATCTGAAGGAAGAGAAGGGAAGGCTCCCTTTGCAGCGTTTGACACTGATGACCAGCCTCTCTGGGTTTCTCTGGGATCGCTGCTCCTCTCTTTCATCTCAGACTTGCCTGAAAACTCCTTCTCAGTCTCTTGCTGAGTCTTGCCTCTTCTCTGTGGGTGGCTCCCTAGGACAGATAAGGGGGCCGTCCTAAGCTCTCTTGTCTTCTAAGTCTATACTTTCTCTCTCAGTGATCTGGCTAGTTCCCAAGGGTTCAATTATCATCTCTATGCTGATGATGCCCAGATCTATATATTCAGCCCTGATCTCACTTGAGTGCCAAGTCTCCCACCACCATCTGTCTATTGGACATTTTAAAGTGGATTTTCCACAGGATCTCAATCTCAACATGACTAAATAGAACTTGTTGGCTTTTTTTTTATTCCCTGTCTTTCCTCCAAACCCACCTTCCCCTTTTTGCTGAGACTATCACCAGCTTTCTAGGTACCTAGATTTACAACCTCATAGACATTCACTATTCCTGTCATCCTTGCCCTGCCCCCACACACCCAATTAGTTGCCTGATCTTGTCCATTGTAGGTCTATGATGTCTCTTGCAGATTCCTCCTTTCACTCCACTCCTATGGCTGCTACTCTAGTTTGGAATCTCATCATTTCCCAGCAGAAGGATTGCCATAGCCTCCTAATTGACCTTCCTGCCTTGATACTCTCTTCCTTCCAAGTAGCCGGTCAGCCAACTAAGTATTTACCGTGTACCAGGCAGTGGACTAAGTGCTAGAGATAGAAAGAAAGGTAAACCACCACCACCACCACAATTCTTGCTCTTAAGAAGCTCACATTCTAATGGGAGAGACAGTACTTAAAAAAACTATGTATGAGATACAGCCTGCAGTATAAAAGAAATCTGATCCAGTCTCCACCCAGCCTCCTAAACTGCCATTCCTAAAGTTCCTAAAACTCTAGGGCCAAATCCACACTCCTCTCTTTTAAAACTCTTCACTAGACACGAAACTGGGAGAAAAATAAAATGCAATAATAAAAAAAATTCTTTAAAAAAACCCCTTCACTAGCTGACTTCAATCTATCTCTCAAGGCATGTACATGACATCCCCCTTCATGGACATTATTGGGACAAACTGGCCTTTTTGCTGTGGCCAAGAAATGAGCACATTCTCAAGTTGCATTAGGAGAGGCACGATGCCCAGGACTGGGGAGAGGACTAGCTGTGTGAGGTCCACATCTGACCGCTTCCGAAGTCGTGTTCATGTCTAGGCATCATATTTTAGGAAGCACATTGACTCCCTGGAGAGTATTCAGAGAACAGTGACCAAGAAGGTGGATGTGAGGCCGTGTGAGGATCGGTTGAAAAAAGCGACAATGTTTATCTTTAAGAAAAGAAGACCTTGGGAAGATGCAATTGTTTTTTTCAATTATCTGAAATATTGTCATGTGGAAAAAAGATTAGGCTCGTTCTGTTTGGAACCAGAGGGAAGAAGTAGGAACAATGGAAGCAACTTACAAAGGTCAATTCAAGCTTAATGTCAGGAGGGGGAAATCTTTCCGATGATTGGGGCTGTCAAAAAGCATTATGGGATGCCTCCTTATGTAGGGATCTCTTCCCTTCTTCCCCCACTGGAGGACTTCAAGCTGGATGTGCACTTGGGCATGTTTTTAAGGGGTTTGTTTTCAGGTACACATTGGTGTGCCTCCGAAGTCCCTTCCAACTCAGAATTCAATGGCTCAGGGAACTGAGATGACAGATGTGTTTCACTCTCCTTCCTGAGCCTCTAGTGTCGGGTTCTGAGGCCGCAAAGATCATGGCATCGATGACAAAACTTCTCTCACGTCCCTTCTTTGGCTACTATTTGGAAAGTAAGTAGACAAGTTGGATTGTAGCAGCATCCTCACCAGTAAGATTTTTCAGGTGCTTGCTTGAGTTAAGCAGCTCATTGCCACAGGCACCTGGGGAGAATTAATAGGGTGTTATTCTGGGAAAGAATACTTAAATTATATACTCATGGTTTAAGTTTGTCAGGTATTTGATGAAACATGAGTGTAGGGAGCCATCATGCCCAAGGAAAGGAGTTGCTAGGTGATTGCTATTTCTCTCATCCAAAAATGTAATAGGAATGTGGTCTTATGGAACTAGAACGGCAAGAGCCTTGGAAGGTCATCTAGTCCATCACTGTCACTTTATAGGTAAGGAAATGGAGGGCAGAAAGGTGAAGTGCCTGGCCTTATGTCACATGGTGAAAGAGTAGAACAGGGGTAGGGAACCTTTAGCCTTGAGGTGACACATGGCCTTCTAGGTCGCCAAGTGCAGCCCTTTGACCGAATCCAGACTTCACAGAACAAAGACCCTTAATAAAAGGATTTGTTCTGTAAAACTTGGAACTTGGACTCAGTCAAAAAGCTGAGCCCAAGGACCTGGAAGGCCACATGTGGCATAGGGGTAGGAGGGGTAGGAGGGAAAAATAAATACTTGAGGCTGCAGGTTCCCCATCCCTGGAGTAGAAGTAGCTAGGTAATATAGTGGAGAGAATGCTGGGCTTGGATTAGGAAAATCCAATTTCAAACTCTGCCTCAGACACTTACTAACTAAGTGACCCTGGGTAAGTCACTTAACCTCTTGCAGCCTCAGTTTCCTCACCTGTAAGAGAGGGTCACCCTTTGAAGTATGAGAGGTAGGCTTCATGCCTAATTCTTCTAACTTCTAATCCAATACTCTAAGAAGATAGAGAAATGTAATACAAAGACACTTGGACTGGAAGTCAGGAGACACAGTTTCTAGTCACGCCTCTGCCTGTAACCATTGATCTTGTGCAAGTCACATCCCTAACTGGACCTCAATTTCCTCACTTGTCAAATGAGGGCAGCTAGGTGGTACAGTGGATAGAGCATTGGGCCTGGAATCAGGAAGGCCTAAGTTCAAATCTGGCCTCAGACACTTACTAGCTGTGTGACCCTGGGCAAGTCACTTAACTCTCTTTGCCTCAGTTCTTCATCTGTAAAATGAGCTGGAGAAGGAAATGGCAAACCACTCCAGTAACTTTGACAAGAAAACCCCAAATGAGGTTGTGAAGAGTGAGTGAAACATGACTGAAACTACTGAACAACAACAAAAAAATAAGGTTAATGTTGACTTCACGTGGTTACTCAGGATCAAATGAGATCATGAATACGATGAGCTCTGTAACTGTAAACATTGTAGGAAAAATATCGATATTATTATTATTAGTCAGAGCTCCCTCTAGCTACCTGTAGACAAGTCTTTTCTCCTCTTTGGGTCTTAGTTTCCTCACTTGCAGAATGAGGGTTTAGAGCCCAGCCAGACTGAGCAGCACTGAACCTACTGATACAACCCGATGATTCTAGCTTGCTTGTCAACTTCAGCCTGTCCCAGTCACCAAAGCTAGCACATATAGCAATTGAAGAATGTCTCCCCCATTGGAATGTAAGCTCCTTCCCAAGGAGATCAAAGAAAGAGGAAAAGGTCCTAACAGTACAAAAAGTTTTATAGTAGGAAAAAAAAAGAAATTAAGGAATTTCCCATCAATTAAAGAATGGCTGAACAAATTCCTTTATATATTCACATCACGTGATACTATTGAGATGTAAGAAATGATGAAGTGGATGGTTTCAGAGAAATCTGGGAAGACTTATCTGAACTGATATAGACTGAAGTGAGCAGAATCAGATAAATCTGTACTGTAAGAAGAGCAGTATAAAAATAAACAACTGTGAAAGATGTGGGAATCCTGATCAATGCAATGGCCAATCATGATTCTGCAGCACTGATGGCAAAGACTGCGACCCACCTCCAGAGACACAAAGGTAATGGACTAAAGATGCAAAATGAGGTCCACATGTTTTAAACATGGTCGATATGGGAATTTGTCCTGTTTGACTGTGCATACCTTGTTCTTCTTTTAATGCCTTCTCTCTGTTGATTATCTCCAATTTATCCTGTGTAAAGCTTGTTTGTATCTAGTTATTTGCATGCATTTCCACCATTAGACTGAGAACAAGGACTATGGGGGGGCAATTACTTTGTATCCTCTGCATTTAGTACAGTGCCAGCACATAGTAGGCACTTCAAAAATGCTTGCTGACTGGTTATATTTATGACAAGGGTTTTCTTTTTCTTTGGGGAGAGTAGGAAGGAAAAATAAATACTTGATGATTGAAAAAATAAAATTCAATGAAACTTAAAAATTAATTATGAGTTAGAGTAGTATCACTCAACCGTGAGGAGCAAAATGGGTTGTCTTAAAGTCTTGGATTAATTTTTTAATAATTAATTAATTTATTTATTTTTAGTCTTCAACAACCATTTCCATAAGCTTTTGAGTTTAAAATTTTTCTCCTCCTCCCTCCCCACCTCCTTCCCTAAAACAGCAGTGTGCAATCTGATATAAGCTATACATATACATTCCTATTAAACATATTTTCACATTAGTCATGTTGTAAGGAAGAATTAGAACCAATAGGAGGAACCACAAGAAAGAAGAAACAAAACAGAAGAAAAAAAAGAGCATATAGTATGCTTTGATCTGCATTCGATCTCCATAGTTCTTTCTCTGGATGTGGACAGCATTTTCCATCATGAGACTTTTGGAGATGTCTTAGATCCTTGCATTGCTGAGAAGAGCTAACCTATCAAAGTTAGTTATTGCACAGTGTGGTTGTTACTGTGTACAATATTCTCTTGGTTCTGCTCACTTCACTCAGCATCAGTCCATGCAAGTCTTTGGACTAGTTTTTTAGAAACTGTAAGCTCTCTGAAGGCAGGGATGGTTTTTTCTTTTGTTTTGTTTTGTTTTTATTTCTTTTTCCCTGTATTAACTGCACTCAGTACAGTGCTTTGCTTATAGTAAGCACTTAACAAATGCTTGTCAGTTCCTTGTTGATTAGGAGAGATGGTCAGGTACAGTGTAATTCACACAGGGGTAGAGATAGGGTTGTGAGATTTCCATGGTTGTCACTGCAAATAAACCTGCGTCAGCTGTTCATGGGACAAGACTGAGGTGAGGCCTGGATGAATCATTGCTAACAAGTCTGAAATCGGCAAGCAGATTGTCAACACATCCTTCAAGCCAATCCCCTGGGGGAATATTTATTCTGTAGACACTCCTGTTTCAGAGAGATTCATCACCTTCTCCCAGGGCCATTTCCTTCAGAAAACTTAAGAAATGATCCCTGTCTGATAGCTGGCATTTCTCTGCACTCACCCAAACTTTCAAGCTAGAAAAGCAAAGTCTAACAAAAGAAACTGAAGCTGTCCATGTTGGGGAAGAGCAAATAAGTGACTGATCCAAGGTCACACAGGTAGCAAGCATCAGAGGCAGGATTTAAACTTGTCAGTCCTCTAATACCAGGGTCAGTGCTCTTCTCTGACTTCAAATCTAGGGTTCTTCTGACATTTCCAGGTAGTAGAGACCCTTCAATGCCAAGCTAAGGAGCTTAAATTTTATCCTATTGGCAGGGAAGAGCCCCCCAAGTCTTTCCAGACAGGTGAGTAAAATAACAAAAACAACAACAGCTAACATTTATATAGTGCTTACCATATGCCAGGCACTGTGCTAAGCGCTTTACAATTATCTCATTTACTCCTCACAATAACCCTGGGAGACAGGTGTTATTATTATCCCAGTTTTACAGATGAGGAAACTGAGGCAAACAAGGGTTAAGTGACTTGCCCGGGGTCACACAAGCTGGTATATGACAGAAGTGGGATTTGAACTCAGGTCTTCTGAGCTCTTTACATACTACATTTCATTACCGATGGGGTACCAAGAGGGGGAAAATCAGTCCTCAAATAAAGGATTCCATCAAAGGAATGTGTATTGTAAAATGGAACTGGCCAATCAAAGGAGGGGGCTGCAGGACTGGAGTGATCTTCCAGGGTGAGAAGGATGGTAGACAAAGAAGTCTAGAGAACCATAAGAGGAGCCCAAGAGGAATGAAGGCATGAACATGGCTGACCTGAACATTTGCCTTAAAATGAAGGTTTGGGGAGGAATGGATCGATTAGAAGGGGCTGCAGGGGCAGAGTGATCTTCCAGGGTGAGAAGGCTGCTGGGGAATGATGGTGAAAGAAGTCTGGAGGGTGAGACATTGAGCCCAGAGGGAAATAAAGGAACCAGTAAAAAGAAAAGGAGTGACAGCTGGTTAAGTAAGGAGAATGAGCAGCAGCAATGGATATCTTATGTCCTCCATGGGCATCCTTATGACATCAAGGAAAGTAAGGGAGGCAGCTGAGTTCAGAAGAAAGGATACTGATTCTGGAGTCAATAACCTGGGTTCAAATCTTGTCTCCGACAGTTCATATATACACAGAGTTAGGAAATATCACTTAGCCTCTCCTATATCTCAATTTCCTCCTTTGTGAAAGTGAGAGGGTTTTACTAGAAGAACTCTGAGATTCATTAAATCTTTAGATCTGTGATTCTTCATGGAACTCTCGTCTTATTCGTCTTTCATTTTTGAAGAGGAACAAAGACATGACAAGGGTGATATCCTGACATGCCTGTGAATTGGATTTAAGTGAGGATTCTACATGGAAGGAAGAATTCCAACACATTGGTCGGGCTCCAAGCAATGAGCGCCGACAAGAGATGTGCAAGATGGGCAGGAATGGCTAGATTTTGACCTGCGTTCCCCTACTGATGAGATTACAGATTCATCTGAGTATCCATTAGTGCCTGTTACATTGCCTAGCACATAGTAGGAGCTTACTAAGTAATTATTGAATTGAAGTGAGAGCTATGCATTAATAACTTTATTTACAGGATGGATTGGAGTAGGGAGACCAGTTAGAAGGTTATTACAACAACTCAGGTGAGAGCCCCGGCAACACTTAACATCTCACAACGGGGGATCCTCCTGGTCATTCCTAGGATATGGCTAAACAAAACACAAATTTATCGACTTTTCCCTCCTCTTGACTAGCTAATTGGACT